TCATAAAATATCACTTTGAGATGTGGTGTTTTGCGACGAGCTGTTCGATACTTTGTATATGCAGGCTCTGTAAGTAAAAACGTTTTCACTTTACTTCTTGGAATTCTTGATGTCTCTTTCAATTTCTTTACACTGCCAATCAATGCTGGATTTTTACTTGTAAATTTATTGTTTAATATTTTTTCTTCAGCCGGTGTACTCATGCCACAGTTATGATTTTGTCTTCGTCTTCTCTGTCGTTGCAGAATCTGAATTGTTATTGGGCGTTTCGTACGATTCAGAGTCTTCCTCTTCTCCTTCGTCGCGTTCGGCTTTTGCGCTGCCTTTTTTTCACTGTATGCGACAATCCTTAGGTTATGCGTCTTTTAATAATTTTTGAGCCGGAACTTGTCGATGTTTTTTTGTTGGTTGAAAGTTTGGCTCTTGCTGTTGAAGGGGATATTGTGGGACCTCGACCTTTTTGCTTTTGTTGACTTGTTCCGTAGTCGTTGACTGTACCGAGACTTTGGCATACTTGTTCATAACCAACTGTTCGTCAAGTTTGAGAGATATCAAAATCAGCATGAAAGCAGGGTTGTACAATTTTTTAGTTTGTCGTTGTATCTCATACAAAAAAACTGATGCCCTAAGATTGGTTGGATTTTTATCAACGTTAAACTCTTCATTTTCTTTGTTTATAATGACTCGCTTTGACTTTTTAACATTTTCCAGAATTTTTTTCGCTCGCTTAAGTTTGTTTTCGTCCATGAGTTGTAATTGTAACATAATAATTTTAGTGGATAAAGCGTCATTAAGCTTAGCACTTGTTTCCAGTTCATTTCCCTCATCTTCAGTGAAAAGGAGAGCTTGTTCTTGTTGATTGTTTTCTGCTGTGGCATTCTGCAGTGTTTCGGGGGTTGGTTTGACTGAAGAAATAGTTGTTCTTGCATATAGGTGTCTTAAGCAATTCAACTCTGATAGTTGCGAATCTTATATGTTTCTTCGAAATTATTAGGATTTGGAATACTAACAGGCACATGACCGTTGACTACATTGAGCAGGCATATGCAAACGACTGATATGACTTGAGTATTTGATGATTTTTTAAAAAAGCTCCGCAGTTGAATTCATTTGAGCTGGGTGTCGCCTCATATAATGGTGAATAGAAAATTGAGGGGCCAGGAGGTATTATGTTTGAACCGTATCTAAGACAGTCTGATGTTCGGGGATCTACATCTCTAAGTAAAAGTCCGAAGGTTTCCTTTGCAGCCAGTTCAAAAAAATTTCGTAAAAAATTGGTTACTTATGTCTTTCTACCGTTGCCAGTTTAACGAATTCTTTATTATTGTAAATTTCTTCGCCTGAGTCATCAAATTAGCTAGTAGAATGTTTTCTATATTTCTCAAACGATCAAATCTATCAATTTTTACGAATTCAATTTGACTACTGGGAGCGTTTACCTTTTCTCGAACTATGGGTTTTATATCCTTGGAAAAAACTAAAACTCTTTCAAATTTGGGGTAAAAAGTTCTCCCTTTTAATAGTTTGAAATTTAATTCTCTTTTTACAGATCCTGAAGGTCCTACAACTGCCATAAATAGTCCTGTCGACGTGTCAATAATTTTAATCATATCCTTGTGTTGGGTAGTACGTACTCAACTAAACCAGACATTATGAAAAACCAAACTGATGTTTCTTCACAGCTCAGTTGCATCAAACAAAGTTTCTAGATACAAAAGCTTATCAAAATTAAAATTGAAATCCTTTGAGACATAAAAACTACTTATGATCTGGGAACAGTGGCATCAAAACAAAATTTTCAAGATTTTTGTTCGTTGTTATTCGATCATTGAAAAAAACAGTAACTATAGTTGCATCCGGCTCATCATCTGCTACTTTAGACCTTCAGGTTTTCAACTTAATTTTATCTCTCTCTCTCTCTCTCTCTCTCTCTCTCTGACTATCTATCTATATCAACCGTTTCTTTTTGAGGAAGAAAAATGTATGGTATTAATTCTTCTGAACAGTAAAAAATCTCGTCTCGAGTATAACCAGAGTAAAAATTAGTAGTATCATTTGCATTGTCATACATTTTCACTACATAGTTGGCTGGGAAATTTTTAGTTTTTACATGATATAAGATTTTGTTCACTGAGTTGTTTTTTACTAACTTCTAAAAATTTTCAGGTAAGTCACTGCTGCTGAGATCCATTCGAGCTCCAAGCTGACGTTTGGGTACTAGGACTAGCTAGGGAAGTTAAACTCCTCGTTTGCTGGCTATCTTTTTGAATAAACTTGAATCGTTGAAAGTATATGAGTTGGTCATTCACCGAATAAAACCTTCTTAAAGTAGTAAATTTTTCTTCCGATAAAGTGATTTGTTCTTTTCGCTGCACAACTCGAACTCGGCAACCAATTCGTTCATCCCTTGTTTTGATATCACTCTCTGGATTCATCCAAGCACATAACACTTAATTTGGAGATATGTACGTCTCCATTTTTGCTACTCTCTCGCTGTTGCTCATTCTACAGCCAGTCAAAAAACGCCTTGCTTTTCTTCAAAGCGCAGTGATTTCTGGAGTGGTTTAGATGAAAATTTCTATTGCAAGTTGGATAGTTTTTGAAATCTAAATTTTCAATTCTTGGACAACCCAATTCATCCTGGTTCTCAACTTTTCGATCCAAATACGTTGTCAGAAAATCACTCTTTTATTTTCCTTTAGCGTAAAAACTTTGAATAATCTGATTGAGGTTTAAACATAAATAATCAAAGCTTTCTCAGTGAATTCCGTGCAATTTTTTAGCCAATCAGTTCTAAGCTTTTTGTTCAGATTTAGAAATAGAATTGAAACTGGCTGGAGGTAGAAAACTAAGAGAGTCACTGTAATCAGAAGTTGTAATGACTGGTTTTTGAGCTGTAAAATTATTTTTCGTACAACGGAATCCTTCCGAGTCTAGCATGACTGATCTTTCCTTCAACATTCTAACAATTGATAGAGACTTTGTTTTGTCATTTTAACATTAAAACAGAAAGTAATACCACTGAAGTGACCAATCAGGCTGTTGCTATTTTTCCACTGTTGCAAATAACAGTAGTTGGGACCAGTGTTATAAACTTCGTGAACGAATCCCGCGGCATCGTGCAAATTTGCATGCAGTCGTAATATTTTTTGAATCATCGAAGTAATTGTCCAATGAAGATTTATCTATGCCAATAAGACCTCCATATGGTCTAAGTTTAATGGCAACGACATAGCTTATGTCATTTTTGCTGGAAAAGAAAAACAGAGAGCAAGTAGCCAGAAAATAATTTCGAGTTCAGAGTTTTCCGCATAGGTTTTTTTCACGGTCAAATAAATCTTTCACGGTCAAATTGAAGTAACTCTACGTTTTTCCAATTTCATTTTGTATTTTTTCCAACAACTGACGGACCTGCTGAATTTCAAGCCAGTGGAAGTGAAAGTAACCTTGCAGATACCACTTACTCTGTCCTATATATCGGTGGTAGATATTTAGATAGACCACTGGAATTTTTTGATCTTTTAAAAATTTAACAAAACAAAGTCGAATCATTCGCTCCGCCCCTTTCTCAGTCAATATTCAGAACGAATAATCAAATACGTTTGAATAAAAGCAATTGATAGACTAGTAGCTTTCCCATACTTTTATTTTGCATAAAAACACCACAAAGTTCGTTCAAGTAAAAATGTTCTTTACAACTCTGCCCATAGTCTTGATCGAATGTTAACGCACGAAAGTGCAGTCACCAGGCATACCTTTTTATTATATATCACAAGAGCAGTAACTCATTATAATATAGTCATTTCAGAGCACTTAGTATATAACACAAGTGGTTTTATTTTCCTCTCTGGAGTGCCCCTGTGTTTTGAAAATTAGTTTGAAAATTAGCATTGAAAATTAGTTTCATGTGGTTTTGGGATTAGCGTCTGGAGGACAGAGAAATTGTGTCTGGAGCGCCTATGTGGTTTTGGGATTAGGCTCTGGAGCACCCCTGTGTAGTGTAGGTACCCCCCCCCCCCCGCCCCTGCTGGAGCGCCGGCAAACTAGACTACTATTAGCCTGCTATTTATGAAATTTTGTTAGAGTTGTTCAAATCAATAATGAAAGGGCTTTAATATGAAACATAATTCGACCCAATTGTGGTAACTGCCTTAGTTAAAAAACAAAAAAGCCTACTGACTCACTCTGTTAGCTAAAAAATTTAAACCGGTTTTTCTCGGCATTAAGAAAATTCAACATGATCATTTTTCAAAATCGCGACTGAAAAAGTTTGAATGATATTCCCTTCAACCCATTCCGATGGTTATAATTGGTAACTGGATTTACATGGAAAACCAAAATAAAAGTTAAAAAAAAGAAAAAACATACCCGAATACAAAGTTCTTCACCACTTTATAGCTGACCGAAACAAAAATTGATGATTGGGCAGAATAGTTTTTACAGAAGGTCCCACATTTGTCGGCCAAACATATTTGCAACGAATTTGCTTTTTGCTTACAACTATGTTTGTGTTCTGAAACAGTTAAACCGTCTTTCAAGTTAGTTGCACTTCAATGTAAAAAAAATATTTTCGACTATAATCTCGACTTGTGGGCGAATAAAACTTATCTGCGCAACTTAAAAAAACGGTCTAACTATTGCAAAAACACTTTAACTTTGAGAAAACAGGGTGATCACTAAACTTCTGATTAATTCCACTCGGAAATCTAGAAACTAGAATCCATTCTCAAACTAAATTTTAAGCTGCCTTATTATGTCAGTTGAAATTTTGATTAGTGCGAGTCGCCAGGTTGCGAGGGCAAACGGAATTATATAAACTGATTGAGTAAATAAAACCGCCATTTTTAAAATTTAAGCAATGATTATTTGTAGAAAATTTTAATGAGAAAAATCAATCAAAAAACCATTGGACGGAATAAGGGAAAACTTACTTAATTCGTCAGTTTTCGAAAAAAAACTTGAGACAAAAAGTTATATAGAAAAAATGTATTTGCATTTTTGTTCACTTTGATAGTCTTACAGCTGATTCAAATTAAAGTTTCTACAAACAAAATATTATGTACAGCTTTGGATTATTGATTGCTAAAAATATTTACAGAAATATCTACGTCAATCTAAAATTAAATCAAGTTTTACAAAAATGATTTGATGCCAATTTAAGACGGATTTTTCATAGGATATACACGAATGAAAGCCATATTTTTTGCAGGTGCAATTTTTTTGCATTTTTTTGACAATCATCAAGTTTAACAGTTTTACGCTACTAGATGAAGAGATGAAATAGAGTCCTTCCAAATAATTCAGGTCGGATCGATTTAGTGCAAGTCATCACCGCCACCAACGTCCAGAATATCCCGTAAATCCACAGACAGCGAAATCCACTTTTCTTGTAAGCCTAAATCTGGGTTCCAATATGCTTTTGTCATGTGAGTCTTCAACATTGCTTCACCAATATTGATCATGTGATTAGCCAACTCTTCTGCGTTTTTTGGTTCCAGACCATCATGTTTGGGCAGAATTTCCAATTTCGTGAGAGTTGTTTCTTTTATTTTAGTAAATTCACTCTCACGTTTTTCAGTGTTTTCAAATTCGTAGTTGAAAACGTGTGTTAAGAAGCAAAAAATCTGACGAATCTGGACGCTACGTTCCGGTTGGATATCGCCAGTTTCTACTTCATCGAATTTTTGAGCCAAATTTGGATAGCTGGAGCGTATTTTTATTTTGAGGGCTGTAACTTCGTCCAATCTCTTCTTGCGCAGATAATCGGCGACCGCATCTTGGATATCAAGACAGTAAAACTCGTTTAAATACTTTCTTTGAACACGTAACTCTAAACGCATGAACTCAACCCACGAGTCTCCCAATTTCTGAAGAAACTCCTGTACAACAACTGGCGACTTCACCGCTGTGTTTGATAAGCTGTTCAGCTTTTCCTTAGAGAGAAATTCGATGTAAAAACTGTTCTCAAAAACTGAAAAATGGAGATACAGTTTTTTGTCAGCTGCTAAATTGTGTCCGGTTTCGTTAAACTGGTAGGCAATTTTTGTGAGGTTACCGGAATCAATGTTCTCTAACATCTCCTCTATTTGTTTGAACTCGAATTTTACCGGCAATTTAGCTGGGTTGACCAAAACTATGGGAGCGTTCGATGGGGAAACGCCTACAACAAACAAAACAAAACAAAACACGGGACCATTATCAGGCCGAACTGTGCAATTGTTAGCGGTTTCCGCAGTGAGTCAGGATCAGATTTGTCGCGGACTCCGCAACCTTTCCAGTTTTTAAAAATCTTTCTTGCTGTTTTGGATTCCACAAAAAAATAACAAAAACACTACCACTTAAAATTGCCTCAAAACAGGCGAGCTTGCGGAATCGGCAACAGTTTTTGCGTAATCCGGAACAGTTTAAGGAATCCATAAACAAATTATGAAACATATGTATGGTAAAACTGAGCTGTTCAAATATCCGCAACTGTGAGCGGAACCCTCAAAGTGCGAGCAGAATTTGCAAACCGTAAGCGGAATCCCCATTTTGTTTGCGGATTCCATTAACATTTATAGTAGCGTTTTAAAGTAAATATGTTTTTACCAGGTGTTTCAGCGAGTTCAATTTCAAGTACAGCTAACAGTTGAGTCTTGCTTCCAACCATTCGATCTCAACTGCCAAATTACGCCTATACGTTCGATCTGAATTCCTGCCAAATAACCTACCCCACAAGTTTGATCTCATTTCCTACAATTTGAACAAACTGCAGCACGTTAATTTAGCATTGCATTTCAGTTTCATTTCGATTCAATTGAATCAAATTTGTTACATTTTATCCTACATCGCAATATTTCCAACAAAAAAACATAAAGATGTGAGAAACTCTTTTCAGACGAGGACAGATAAGAACAAACCAGAACAATTTGAATCAAAATGCTACATATTCAGTCAGAGTTTAGAGATTTGAACTTCAGGATCTAATTGAAAAATTTAAGCGCAGATATTGCATCATAACCATACCGTATAAAAATATACCTTAATGAACATCTCACTATGGTTTGAATTCACTCTCATCTCATCTCAAATTTTGCCCTAATGATTTGAAGTCACTCTCAACCCTTTAATCCCAAATAATGACCTTATTTGGCGTTGTGTTGTGCGTTATGCTTCCAAACATTCTCAACCCACTAATCCCAATTTCGTTTGGTTATTTTCTTTTCAAAATGATCCCAAAAATTTCTTGCTGGAAAATTTATCCCAAATTCATAAAAGTACATCCACCGATTTCGTCAAACAATGACTTAAGATTTTTTCATGGATTCTATTGACACCAATTAAGCTTTTCCTTTCAAACTCCGAAATCGCTGGCAAAAACTTCCAGCTCTTGTTTTTAATTGTTCAACGGCAAGAACTGGTTTAGTTCAATTTTTTAAACAAAACTGCGGAAATAACTTACAGCCTGCGAAAATTACTCAAACTCGCGCTTTCCTTTTAAGTTTGCTGAATCTACTCACATTTTACGGAAACCACTTACAATTTTGGAATCAAGATAAAACAGAAGTGCCGACAAAATTTACACTACAGTTTTTTGTACGCAGAGACCAAGGAAACTTTGTACGTGCAATTCACCTAGATTTTGAGACTTGTTTGAATACTCGTCTCTGAATTCCACTGAACTACAGATACCACAGTGTGCGCCTATCCAGTGCACAATTTGGCCTCGTTTGACAAGTTAAGAGCTAATTTTTGGATAAAAAGCATCAAAAATACAAAAACCAGCGAAATTCAACGGTAAATTTGTCAAATATCTACCCTCTCAATTAGTATATACCGCCTATAGAAAAAATCGTGAATCAACTCCAAAGAGTGATAAATTGGGTGTTAGCGGTCCAGTTTCTGAGGGAAGAAAAACAAGGCTTACTAACTGCAAAAAACCTTAAAAGCGTGATTTTAAAAAGAGTTACCGATAGAGCTGGTTTCATTTCTTTTTATGAACTACTCTGATTAAAAGGTTTTGCTTATAAGAATATTATCATTTGAGAGTTTTGAACAAACAACGATTGTGGAATAAGAACAAAGATTTTTTTGCTAACTTACCTTTGAGGCTCACAGCTATTTTTTGGTGGGTCGAATCATACTTTAGCTTGCTGCTGATAGGTTCAAAGCCCCAGTTCTCGGCACATCGAAACTGATCGTGTTCTTGCCAACCTTTAAAAGTTCTGAGGTCAAGGACGAATTCGTATATACCATCTGGGTTAGGTTTTGTATTTTGTTTCATCAACAAATACTTTCTAGATGGCTCGAAAAGACGCTCTTCGTCATAACCTTCCACAAGTCTGAGCAAATGGTTTACCTAAAACAAATTAAATACTATAAACTTTCACGACTTTTGCTTCGGGTCGAAAAATGTGGAATTGAGGAACGAACTTCGCAAATATTTAAAATGAAAAAAAAAGAGAAAATCTTGGACTAGGTTTACCCAAATCAAAAAAACTCAAACTATATATACAAACGAGGCAGTTAAAAACGTTATTAACCTATCGAAGTTTTAAATTATACAGTCACGAGAAGAAAAGTTGAAAACTTAAATTTAAAGTCAAAGAATTTAGCGAAAACTTCTCCCAACCTTTAATGTTTTTTATAATTACTTAAAATACATGACTGGACCTTTGACATATGATAGATGAAGTCATAGGAATTCATTGGGTCATGCGGGATAAAAACGAAAATTTTGTTTTCCATGGTGTTGTATGGCCTTGAAATTCAAGCTCATTAGAGAGTTGTTCGGGATGTCGAAGATCCTTTGAACACAGTTCAATAAATTTAGCTGTTCATTGGAAAGATTAATTTTCTTCAACTCAAAAAAATTCAAAATTAAATGAAGTTAGGGGAAGCTTGGGATAGTCCGGGCAACTCTACAAAGTTCGAGAGCTTGCGAGAAAATTAAAATGGTTCACTGTAAAAATTGGAACCGTCTGGTGAAATATTAAAGCCAAGCGCTTCATATTTGTCCAACAACGTCTAAAGCGGACATTGATTGTCTCAAAAAGTCTATAACGTTTTGTATTTTGATTGAGCCCCTTATATTTCGAAGGACTACTTTGAAGACCCTAATTTGACCAAATTTTCTGCGCTGCAGGCAAATTTTTGAAAAAAAGCGAAAAACGGCGTTTTTAGGCATTTTTTGGAAAATTTCGACCAAAAAATTGCGCTTTTTCGGCGCGCTCCTCCCTCAGTTTTGGTATAGATTGGCGCCGAAGGTTCCTTTAGAAAAACTTAACGGTCAGTCAGCCAAAAATGGATATCTCAAAATAGTACAAAGGGGGGACCCTTTGGGTCGGCAGGAGGTCGAATCCCTGAGGGGGGTGGGGGGGGGGGGGGGTTGTTGTGGGCGTCTGCATTTCTGCTCCTCCCTCAATCCGCTACTGTAGCTATGGGTTAGTTTGATTGTTACTGAATGGTTGGAAATCAAAGTTTGGAGAAAAACTAGCATCTCCCGCACCGGAAATCCATGGATAATAATCGATTATAATGGAAAAATGTTGTATAAAATGTTGTCATTATAATCCATTATTGTGGCAAATTTAGACCAGGTAATCGATTATATTGTCATCATAATCGATTATTTTCGTAAAAACACAATCCATTAAAATCCATTATAATGGATTATAATCCATTTATAATCCATTATAAAGGATTATAATCCATTTAAAAACCACTATAATTGATTATCATCTAATTTTTTTTGCAAAAGCAAAACTTGCAATATTGTTCCATTTTATTGTCCCCCCCCCCCCCCCCCCCCCACTTTGCCCCCCATCAGTCCGCATTTGCCCAACTATAAGATTGAAAAGTGAAATACAACATTTTATGAAGCCTAAAAACTTAATGCGTAGCGACTGCAATAATCGATTTTAATTGATTATAAAGGAATGTTTTGCCTCGAAAACAAGTTTCATTTTTTTTCAAAAAAAAATCGATTATAATCGATTATAATCGATTATATTTGGATTTTATTGAATAAAAAAATAGTTTCATTATAATCCATTTTTAATCGATTATAAATCCATTTCATCGAAATTTATTGAGACAGACCACGAAAGTTCAATATAATCGATTACTATCCATGGAACTCCGGTGCGGGCTAATATCTCCAAAAATTTTATTAATAGTTGCCAATTCTAGCGAAGTAAAGTTACATTGAATTTTCTAACCGCTTTCCCCGAGATTAAACCCGTTATTTATCATAGAAAAACGGATTACATTTTTACTATTTAAGAAATTGTATTTGAAAATCTAACCGCCTTTTTTCGTGCATTTTCGTCGTTTTTTGTAGAAGGAGAAGCTTGTTCTGTTTCTGCAATCACACCAACTGGCGAGAACGAAAACGAGGATACAATTATGCCATTCTCGTTCGAAAATATGTCTCTCCTGAAATCTTTACACTCAACTGCGAAACTTCCCGCTTTCAAAAGCTGAGTTTTGCTTAAACTTCTCCATGGCAACGTAACTTTAACTTTCCTCAAAAACTGAACATGCTTTGCTGGTGATATATACAGAATTGGTGTCATACATTGATCCATAGGTAACAATTTGAGCTCAAAGTTGACAGTCATGGTCCCAAGGGTGCTTAGTGGCGGGAAGAACACTTCAACTTTTTGTTGTTGATCTTGTTGTATTTCAGGGTCCGTGTAATTGAATTGAATCCTTTTTGCTTTTGCAGTTAGTTTTGTAGAGTACTGATACGAAAGAGAGTCCTTCACTTCTACAGGTTCCAATTCTGGTACGCTAGCCTCGACTTCTAAAAACAAACAGGACTGCTTGCATCTGGGCGAAATTGTGTGCTCCGACTGCTCTTCAATGTAATTGAAACAATTTTGAAAGCATCATTTGAAAACAAATTGATAAATTTTTGAAAAAGTAATTTCTGAAGATTTTTTTTCGGACTTTTCATGAAGTACATTGGCGCATAGTAACGTAATAATAACACTTATTATCTTGCCTGAATTCAAACTGTATCAACTTCTGAGCGGATCAAATGTCCCAAATGAGCCAAATTGGCAATTTATTTTCAAAGCCAGATAAGTTTTGAGATAATTTTAAATTTTGAGATAAAACTTTGAGATACTTAAAAATTAAGTTCAAAAATGGCTACCTATTGAATCAATTTTGGAGAAAAAACAGAAATTTTCCGTCACTATCTTGGAAAATAGAACAACAATAAAAATCTAAAGCGTAACAGTTTGCTCTTACGTTTTAGTGAAGAATATTTGACACTCTTTAATATGAACTTCCTTTTCAAAACCGGTTTGTTCACATCCAGAAATTTGTTTCCAGGTTTTTACAATTTAAACTTTATTTTGGAGCACTTATAATTTTCAAACTAATTTCTAACATTTTTCGCGTACTAATTTTTTTAAGTTTTGCACCAAAGCCGCGCAGGCATTCTGTAGTTGTCTCGAAGCAAATAATCTTAATACCACAATTGATTTAGAAATTAAAAAAAGATCAAGATATAATAGATATCAAGACAAAACTTGATTGTATATTTCATTCAAAAATCTAGAAATTATCATAAGTTTTGCTTCAAAGCAACATCAGTTACCTGGTCCAACGTGTTGATTGGGCGATGTTGCTGAGCTTTCTGTCCTTGTAGAGCAATCAACAAGCGCCATGCATGACTGGAACAGAGCTTTGTTGTTGAATTATTTAAAAAAGTTTGCTTTGACTATTTTTTTTCCTGCAAAATTGTGTATGTTTATAAGCTTTTTTTCTTGCAAAGTGCTTAAAAAATTACAAAAAGAAAAATTTAGACCATATACTGCAATGTTTAGTTTAGGTTCTACAAAAAAAATGAAATATATTTGCATGTTTGTGGTTTGGTTTGAACGTCGTTTAAAATTACACTCGATAATAATTTTTAGTATAACATAAATCAAAAGCGGGAAAAAATACAATTAGGTCTCTCATTGAAACAAAACAGAACCACGCTATCAAATCAAGATCAATTTTCCAGCCCATTTTTCATTTGTTGATGTTTTTGTTTAAAAAAATTTTGATGCCTGCTGTTTGAGAAACGATATGCAGGATCCTGGAGTTATGTTAGCCATATTGTACACAATTTGATCATAACTATGAGGATCTAGCGTAGAGGCAACGTGGGCAGTAGATGCACGCATCGTGAGGAGTGTTCCAATTTAGATAGGTACCTTAGCTTGAGATTAACTTATACCTACTCTTACTCAATTTGTTTCGTTCACAACTACGAAAGTCCGAACAGAGCAGATGTCCAAAACTGATCACCTTTACACAGTAGTCTTACAGAGCTCACGTTTTTTGCTGTCGCATTACTAAATTAGTACTGACTTTGCCATCTCTAGACGTTGTGTTACCATGCGCCGGATTGTTGATTGGATTTCAATTTAGATTTATCAAGCGGTACAGAATCAAACGCGAAAAGGCATGAGCAGAAACCCTTCATGCCGCAAAGAAATTCGGAGCAAGTCTAAACTTATAAGAAATGTCAAGTCCCTTTTTCCGTCAGAGCACACACACGCGAAAAAACTTTTTTTCAAACGTACCGATCCTATTAGAGGCCACTAAGTCGATATAAGTTAGGCCGAAATTTATTAAGCCGATGAAAAAGACGAAAAAAAAATAAAAGTAAAATTTTAACAAATCGAGCTGGTTCAGTTACAACCAATGTGAAAAGCAAATTTTGATTCAGCCAGATTTTTAAAATGTTAAAAGCAACTGCAGCTAAAATTGTTTACAGCCAAAGTAAACTATTTATAGATGTGACAACTAAGCTGACAAAAAAAAGAGAAATATTAGGCTGAAGTGATTTTGAACCGGGGCAATTACCGTTTGAAAAAGAACTGGTCCTAGTCAGATTCGAAACCAAGAATTTCGCCGTCAATGCGTGTTCGTTACCACCTGGCAATGCGTGCAATATACACTTAAAATTTTGAAGTCTTCATGAACCAAGGAACCACCAGTTCAGTGAGTCCGATGAGTCCTGTGGACAAATTTGTTTAGGGGAAAAATGTCTGGTACCCAAATGCAATACCCTTTCTATCGCAAGGTTAAATAAAATTTTAAATAATAATGTGCATAGAAAAAAATCGACTTTTGTTTTATTAATTGATTCGTTTCAACTTGTTGAAAAGTATTTCAGGTCAACTCAAGTGACAGTTAAAAATGTGTCAGCATTCAGAAAGCGTTTTAATTGTTTAATTGTCACACCCATTCTGTTCAACTTTTTTGATATGAATTAACTTACCTTGCAGGTGGCTAGGGTCAGGGTAGACGAAATCATCTCAGTAATTTTCTGAATGAATAAATCTTCTGCGGATCTGCTCGACTGAAAAGTATTTTATTTTAAACTGGTCGCATTTTAACGCATATTTATCAAGTACTCAAACTCAATTTGTCACCGCCAAAGTTTTGAGTTGATAATTGATGCAATTAGATAGAAGCATGAATAAAAAAAATGATGATCAGGCGTCTTAGATTCGAGTATTTTATCGATAAAAATCCTTATCGATGAAAATCTTTATCTTTATCATATTTCAACAGGCTCAAATTTAAGGTGCTTACTTACTTTATTGGTTACCAGCACAGGGTTTGTAATGATAAATAATGATGTTGGTGCTTCATTGTTAGTTTTGTTGTTTCGTTAAAATAAAAGACTTAAATCAAATAAATGAAAGTTAATTCAATTTTAAACAAGAATCTATAATTTTTTTTCAAAATATTGTCAGAAAAAAAATCGAGTCAAAACTTTCCACAAAATATTACTCCGGCTACTTACTTGCTTATCGTTCAGGAGATGGAAACTTTGAGAAATTAAACTGAGAAATGATAATCTCGCTACTGAGATATCAAGCATACTTTTCGAACCCCGATCAATCAAATCCGGAAGTTCTTTCAGTTTTCGTCTCCATACGCTAGAGAATATTCCCCGTTTCAGCTGACTTTTTCTGAATATCAGTGTTCGACTTCTACCGCGCGGCTCCTTTTCAAGCAGAATCAATTTTTCCTTGCTGTCATAACGTGGCAGGCAAACTACTGTATGAATAGGAACTTCATCATTTGTGTCTTCCTGACGATACTTCAGCAACGCTCTTACAAAATTGAAATGTTCTTTACAATTAGTTTGAATTTTTGTCGCCGTCATTTCTGTAACTGATTGAGAGTACACATTGAACACAAAAAGTCCCTTAGTTGAATGAGCTAATACCAAATCCATGTCGACCTTGGCCATTGAAGTTTTGAACACCTCTCTTGTACTGATGTTGGGGAAGACAGCAATTCCGTTCTGGTTCCGACCTGCCATACCAACTAATAACTTATGCAATTTAGATATATCGTTTTCTCTTTTCAGTTGGAATCTACTATCCCTTTTTTGACGCTCTTTTGATACCTGCGTTTGTCCTCTGCGTAGTCTTGGATCAGAGTTTGTCGGAATCCATGATATTTGGCCATCGTGCTTCCAATTGGGAAGCTGAACAAGAAATAATCGCATCAAAGTTTCGTCATTGAACGGAAATCTTTGTCCTCCTGGTATTTTTACCTCCAAAGTTTCAAGCTCCCTGAAGAAATCATCGTCTGCAGCTCCAACCATTTTAGTAATTCAGAGAAATTATAGCAATTCAAATCTTTCACGACTATTTGATTAGGTCATCAGGTGAAATTGGGTTTAAACGCAAGTAAAAGCATACGCATGAATCAACAGTCTGAACATTGATATGAAGTAGAAAACACTGCATCAACTGGTTTTTGAAATGAGATCTATTGAAGTTTTTATTCAAATTTTTTCAAAAGCCACGTGCCTGTTTGGACTGATTGTGTTTGTTTTAGCATAGCATTGATAAGTAAGCACGTCATAACTTGAAGCTATTAATTTGTTCAATTGGATTTTGGACCGGCCTTTTAGCAGACCAACATTTTAATATCAAACGAAAAAACGGGGTCTTTAATCAGTCTGTAATCAGACCAAAGTCATTATTACAACTGTCGGTGTTGTATGATAAGCAAAAGTTAGTTAAGGTTGAGCTTCCCTATTTAAGATATTTATCTCACGATGCCATAAGAACTTGTTACGTTTTGGGGCTTGACCGTTTACTTTTGGTATGAGCTTCCTTAAAAAGATAATGATCTCATGGTGTAAATAAATGAAAACCATTGAAAACAGAATGATAAAAAAGAGGTAATCACTGACTCACGCGCACAATACCGAATCTTGTAAGAAAAGCCAAGTGCAGCAAGTTATCATTCTTTGCCAAAACCGTCTTTGAAGTTAGCATTCTGAACTGTCAACTGTTTTGAGTCTGCTAAAAAACCGGTCTGCTTAAACGCTATAGCACCAATTATATTTTGCATATATTTAATTCTTATTTGCAGTCTTTAAAAAATCCAGGTATCCAAAGTAAAAATCATATGATTTCAATTTGATATCACATGTTTGATTATTTATAACATCAGGCAAAACTGCTCTGCTAAAATTAGTTTCTGCGCAAAAACAAACGACTTCTGCTGTCCCTCATAATAATAACATGAATTTTACTGTCGAAGATAATAATCGGATTCACAAAAAAGCATGAGGGACCAAAATGTGTAGGTAATTAGGGTAACCAAGTAAGTTTTTTTTCGCATATGGCTATGAGTCCACTTTTTCAAAACCCGAGTTAACCAAAAATGCTAGCCTTACAGTTTCCATATATGAAAAAATGCTAATCATGCACCTTTCATGCAATTCCCTAAGTTGCATGAAGGTTCTATGATACGTGATTTTCATGAAAATTGAATGAAAGTTCTATGATAAATGATTTTTAAAATATGGAAATTGTTTGACTAGTGTGTTTCCATAAACCTAAAAATTTTTGTTCTTTTTTTATTTTAGTTGCCTAAAATTTTTGTGTTGTGTTTGTAAGGAAACAGAAGTGACAAAGACCTTGGGTTATTCAAAACTAGAGTCACCAATGGTTTGACCGTCTTGCATTTTCAATGCATCGGAAACGACCTGAATTGTCTGAGAGATTGTCTTACACAAATCATCTAATAAAAGCATCAAACAAATTTTCCAAAAAAGACCTTTTTCCACAATTGAAGTGATGAAACCATATGTAAATTTGTCTCTCCAAAAATAAGCGTTTTAAGCGTTTTTGAAAAGAGTATCGAAAAAAAAACCAAATTTTGATTATCCATGACCAGGGGTGGATCTAGGATTTTCTCGGGGGGGGGGGGGGGGTGGTGGTCAGATTTTCGAAAAAATTTCGATTTTTTAGGTCGACCAAATTGATTTTCTGAGCTCTCACAAACCACTATGAAGACCATAATTTGACCAAACGTTCTGCGCCGCAGGCTAATTTTTGAATAAAAGGCTAAAAAAAGGGCGTTATTAGGCACTTTTTAAAAATTTTTGTCCAAAAAAAATGTGTTTTTTTTTCAGAGCGCGCGTCCGCCCCCCGCCCCCCCTAAATCTGCTACTTTCCACGACTAAGTTATACAAACAAAAATTAAATGTTGCACGCAAATTTTTTTTGTAATATGTTTTCGTTAAAATTAAAATTCGTTTAGCGATTGGAAAAAAAAAAACATTTTTTTTCTTGAGGCGATTTCGAAACGTTTTCATAAAGTTTTTGTTGCAGCTATCGAAAAACGCTAGTCATAAAATTTATATAGATGGAAATTATATGGGTAGCATTTTTTGAAAGAAAACCGTTTTTATATTTGATTTTTGACAATACACAGAGTTTTATAACTAAACAAGTCAAACGTTTTTTTCACAATTTGATGACAAAATAGTAGTAGAAGAGTGAGCAAGAGTGGGGGGGGGGGGGGGGGTGCCTGGTGACCCCCATGTATTAAGATAGGCTATAGAGTATCCGGTGACCAGGCTATGTATTAAGATAGGGAATAGATTTCCTATGTATTAAGATAGGGAATAGGTTTACCATGTATTAAGATGGTAAGGTTTCAGATGGCAAGTTTCAGAAAATTTTTTGGCGCCCGATCTTACCATGTTTTAAGATAGTGTTTAGATTTCCCATGCATTAAGATAGTGTATAGATATCCCTGTGTATAAAAATTAGAAATTCCTTGTATTAACATAGGGAATAGATTTCCCAATGTATTAAGATAGGGAATGGTAAGGTTTCAGTGTGATGGTAAGAAAATAGTAAGAAAAACGGTTTTTTTTTGGATTTTGTGTGGAAATGTCTAGTTTTTTTGCAAAAATCTCGGCATGCGTTATGCAATTCTTGAGTGTTACATGTAGAATGTGCAATGAAGAGAATATGTTTATTGGTTCATGGTCAGTCCATGATAAGATGTGCAAAAATTTGGAAATGCTTATAAAAAAAATTGATATTTTTTCAAAAAACTTCAAAACACGATATGATTTGATATAATTTTATAATAATAACTATTTTATTAGATGATCCTGTTTTAGAAACTGTACTCAATCTAGCTTAAACTATGCTGAAACCTACTGAAACTTTAAAAAAAATTTCAAGTATTTGGAAAAAATTGCAAAAATTTCAAGTATTTGGAACAAACTGCAAATTTTTGGAAAAAATTGCAGAAATCTCATAATTTTGGTTAATGTATGGTTGTTTTTGATCTAATTTTAAACATACTTTTACGTATTGGTTTTAAAAATAAGCTAAGATTGTATTTTAATTGGCATTATGTTGAGACAATGATACAAAAGTTTGAATAAAAAAATGACTTTTTCCACAATTTTTTCTCAATATATTGAAATACAATGAAGTTTACCTTAATTTGAGCTAAATACTTGGTTATACAATGCTCTAAACACTGAAAAGAAGGTTCATACTAGCAGAATCAAAATTGAAACTTCCGGAAAACCGTGAAATTAGTCGTAATTTTTGAAAAGGTAAAATGAAAATTAATCAAATTTACATGAAATTTTCCATTTCGAACTTTTTATTTTGGTTTTTAACTAATTGTTTTTGTCCAGTTCAGGCATGATTTTTAAGAATCTCAACTCAAATGAACATTAAGCGCAGAATTCTATGAAATTTTTAAATCAAACTCCATGATTCAACTCCTCCTCACTTTTTTCTCATTGAATTACCCAAATTTGTACAAAAATTAAAACTTGTGAGAAATTTTTTATGTTAAAATTTAGAAATTTCAGATTATTGATAAAAATGAGCAGTTTATTGCTAAAATTGTTTAAAATGGGATAAATGTTTCTTAAAAATTTATTCGATATTGGGTCAAATTCAACAAAAACTTCTTCATAACTGATGATTATCTCTCTGTTGCTTCTGCAACATAACTTTCAAGATTTTCCGTAGAGTTTTTCCATGCGAGTCTCAAAAAATTGATTTAGCAAAGCAAATCAAGGTGCAAACTGGAACAGTTGTGTAATTTTCCGATTTTTATTAAGAAAAAACTCTATGTAGTAAACATGTAGTAATGTATTGTATATAGTGTTGTATATTCTATGTAGTATTGTGTATGTATGTAGCAAGGAAAAGTAGATCTTGAAAGCAAGTTTTCGATTTATGCTTTATGTATCTTCTTCCAAAAGATGTCGAATTGGGTTTGCTTCTCAAAAATTATCCTCAAAACATTTGATCTTTCATATAAAGTACCTAATATATCAAATGATAACAATTTTTTCTAATGAATTACGCATAAATATAAGACTTTGAGAATTTTTATGTCGGATTTTTTCTCAAGATATACTTTATAAGCTAAATTTTAGTAAAATTATCTCAAATCTCCTAAGGAATAAATTGAATTTCTATCTCATTTTAGCATTTTCTCAGTTTCTGCTTCATTTACTATCTACCAAATGAATCCAATTTGAGCAAATTTTTTACTTGAAAAATGAATTTTAGATGGAAAAATGTATCGTTTCAA